TAGTTCTGAAATATATTCAACTTGATGGCTACAACATTCGAGTCTCATTAAGGACAAGAATTTCTCCGCTTCAATGAAATTGGGCATTTGAAAATCGCGATTTAACAGTTCTTCGAGTCAGTAATCCCGCTCTTTCACAAGAAGTTCAGCTCGTGCGAAGAAACAACTGTGAGCCAGAGGACGAAGATTTTTGGACGGAGTTTGGCTTGGTCGGGGTACCCAATGGCCTTCAGCCACCATTGTGGACCTGGCTTTTAATGCCTGGGCCATTGCGGCTAACTTGCCCCACTTCGCAGCTTCACAAGAGTTTACAGGTCTTACCAAAATGAGACCTGTGAGTTGACGTTATTTAACGAAAGGTAGCCAAAGTGCAAAATACCCTTCCCAAGCCGGACAGCGTCGATTTCTTGTGTGATGAGCCCAGAGGGCGTGGATGTTACGTAAATACACGAAGGGTAGCCGTGTAATTGCACAACGCGGGCAATTACCGTAATCCAAGAACTGTTTTCATTCGCCCATGGAGCGCATTATGGCAAGCTATGTTGGTCATTACGTAGGCAAATAATGACCAACATAGTGTACCTCAAATATTGAATGGATCCTACGCTACAATCGCTTCCAAGGAACCACTCCATGCTTCTTCTGCTTGTGAAAACGGCGAAGTTGTGCGATTTTCACTTGGCAGGTGCGCACTAATGAAGAGTATTGTTTTTAACGAGTATCTGATCAGCCGTTTCACTGGCATCATAGGGTATCCTACTTGTCTTCATGGATAGTTAAAACAAGGCAACGGATGAAATACTTGTGAATACTGAAATACTTGTGAACCAATGTAGCTCACTTCCGGCACCTGTGTCGTTGCGCACTGTTCGTTCTTGGAGGGTTATACATGATTTTCACTCCAATTCATTTTGTATATTGGATTGGAGAAGGCACTTGAATTCTCCTCCGCTACTATGAGGTATCAGCTCGGAACAGACCTACAGTCTTGCGGCGCTCTCCTCATCTTGCGAGGTCTCGATTTCCTGTGTGGTCTTCAGTTTGGATGCGATTTTACCTTGCGGCCCCAGTGAAGAGAAGGATCACTACCGTAGACACCCATTCAGGTGCTGCTTTGCTTCTCGCTCCAGAGGGAAGCCACCAACGCTTTCGTTTCGAGCGAAAGGCAGCGTCAGCGGCTAGGGATCAAGATGTAGCGAACGCCCGCGTCCACCGCCGTCTAGGAGTAGTGAAAGGGATAGTTGAGGAGACATCATGAAAATGCGCCGTGTGCGACCGCACCGTACAACTGCCAAAGCCTAGAATTAAGCTGGCTTGATGTGAGGTGTAGGGCAGCTCTGAGGTGCCGTAGCACGCACCGCAATCTCACGATGCTCAACCAGCTGTGCTAACCTCCTGCCATAATCTCCACTCTTCGACTCTGTTGTGCGCTGGGGTTCGCCATCTATATTTCAAAGATCGCTAGTGTTCGCTGGCCACGTTGGTGGAGCTAGTGGTCGCTGGTGATTGAATAGATGTGACTTCATGTTCAGGAAGTCGAACTACGCCTAGAGACCTACTTTTATACAAATCGAAGACGCAACTTCAACTTCGAAAACTGCGCAGGAAAGGATAAATTGCTCCAAAAATTGCAGAGAGACGAGAAGCATTGGTCATTTTTCGATCTACTCCCGAAATCCTGTACATCTTCGAACTAATGAGCTTAATTCGTTTCGTCAACCCAACAATTCATTATTTCTTCAATTCTTCACCGATAAGTGAAAAGAGCCGTACCGACAGTTACCAAAGTAGAAGCAGTACGGAATGTTTCCTTGAAAGCTATCTTGATCAAGAACCCCTTAATACACGTAATGACCAACCTATAACACCTCAGTTGCACTCCATGGCGAAAGCAAACACTTTTGGGGTTACGGTGATCGCCCGCGGTGTGCAATTACACGGCTACCCTTCGTGTATTTACGTAACATCGGGCTATTGGGGTGTACTAGTTATGCAAAAAGGAAACTTTAGGAATAGCGTCCCAAGACCCTTTCAAGGCAAAATCAGACATCCCTGCTATCCGCAGCCTACTTTGTCGGAACAATTACATTCACGGATTATATGTTCGCATCAAGAATTTAATAGCAAACAATGCCATGCTTAGGAAACCAATAATTTAAAAAAATAAGTAACTTGTGGGTTCTGCACAAATTGGTGTCTGCAACAATTTCGTACAAGGTATCGAAATTGTTTCTTCTGCTGTCAGGCGACTCTCACGTTTACGTCAACTTTCGCCAACTCTTTTCCCTCATTTTCTCGGATTCTAGATAATAGGAACAGTTTTGCGGTGCCGTGAATGACTGTAATGACGAAAATCGAGAATGGAGCGCGACTACGTACGCTTCAGTTTGGCTAAACAAGAATGTCTTTGAGCGCCCATTTTGTCTTTTTTCTAGGGAGTTGCGGAGCGTTTTCTTTCCTCAGGCTGTGATCGTCTCTGCGAATGTGAAGAGTGCGCGAATTTGGGAAATGTGTAACGCAGATTATCCCGATGCGCGATTCTGTACATTCGCAAAGTATGAACGGGATCTCACAGTTCTTCGGAGGAAAATCTCATCTGCGCCGGAATCTTAGTACTGCTGGGAGTATGACCTAAGCTGTCCTCTGTTGTCCTTCTACCTTGACATGAAATGCTCGCCGTTGCGCCTATTCAAAAATTTCGACCTGGGTCGCCTGCCACCTTGTTCTTTCAGTTGAGTTTAGATTACCCATTAAACTAAGATGCCGATCGCCTTTCAATCACCATCCCATGTCCACCTATTCCGAATACCACTTTCTCACTATATTTTTCGGTTCATTGGGACTACTATTTCCCAAAAAAACGGGTCAGTCCGGCTATTTCTAGAGACCAGATTCCAATTAGGCGATAATCAATGGGAGTTAATTGAGATTGCTAGGCAGGGCGCCAGTAGCCTCTAGTATCTCTAAACAGGTTCCCATTTTTGGTAGAACATCCCACTGTAATGTAAATCAGCAGCGGAACTCTGTTCCCTAGTTCCCTGGAAGGCAAGTATTCCTCATCCGTATTTAGGACGTTATTGCAGAAGCAACCGGTGATTGATGCACTCCGATAGCACTTTGGTGCTCTATTGTTAAATATGGCATACTGTAACTGTCCAGCATTGGGAATGGTGTACTGCATCGTGATTTGTGAAATGGCGGTGTCACTACGATCCTCGTGCTGGTCCTGTGATTTCCCCATTCCGGTTAATTAGAGGGACATTCACTATGTTAAGAAAAGTTGTCCATAATTTCTGGTTTTCATCCAAACTATCTACTGTTCTTTTTTCCGTTTTCCGCAAAAGATTCCACTTTTTCCAGCCCACATGAGGCGGTAAATACGGAGAAAAATCAGCAGCAATGAATGATAATCTACCCTAGGGACTTATCTTGAAAATATGAATGATCCCAACCAAGCGACGCTGGTAATGCCAAGCCGATGGATGGTTCCAACGACGTGGTGTTGTGGTGAAATACTGTGTTATTATCGCCATTCCTTACGACTGTTTGTCCCACGAATGGCTGGCCTGGAGGTCGGTTGTAGCCGTTTGAGGAAACGCGATTTTTCTTCCTTTCCATCTTTCTAGCATTAAATGTTATCTTAATATCAACTGCAAGTTCATGTGCTTTTAGATGATGATATCCGTAGCTTTATTGAATATTTATACGGACTTAAATAAGTGGATATGTTTCGTATTTATGTTCCTAGGGAGACGCTACAAAGTCGAAACAATTCAGCTGTTCTCTAATAACAAGGAAAAAAAGATCATGGAATGAAAGCTTTGACCAAACTTCATTAGAGATCAAGCTCCTCCTGGCACTCTAAGCATAGCTAGATTGTGCGAATTTACTGGAGAGCTGGAGCTTTGGAGCTTTTAGGTAAAACCATCAGGTAATCCTTCAGTGAATCCTCATCTACAGTTTTCTTACGAATAAAAATAGTTTTCAGCTTCGCGAGTTCCTGAGTGTTTATAATATTCTAACAGAGAAGTGTTTTGGATCCTGCGTTCGTGAATACAACACTAATAATCTTACTTCAGCGGAAGACAGCTGTGTTACGCGATGTAAGTTTTCGCCTGGTTAATTTATACGATTTTTCCAAATCTTCCTGTTACATCAGCTTAAGTTGCATGGTCCTGTTACGAAACCCTGTGACGCAGACGGATAGAGGGCAGCGGCTGCCAAAGCATCGAAACGTGCAAAAAACGTATGGCGAGCCAGGAAACGGGATTTTTCAAGGGGAGGGACTCCGGGGTGGGTGAGCTACTTATAGTCGGTGAAAAGCTGGAGTGAGCGAAGTCACAACGGCCATAGAGTGCCATGCGGACGAGAGAGTGCAGAGAAAAAGAGAAGATCGACGCGTTTAAAGGGATTGAGTTCAAGTTGTCCGTAGACCGCTGAGTTTGTTTGCGCTCACTTTACGCCAGGTTTTGGCGCTTGGAAGTAAAACCGCGTTTATACTTTGCACTGAGGAGAAGGAGATTCGGCGATTGGGGAAACTCGGCGATTGCACGAGAGGAAAGAAGATGTGTCGACCGGCGCCGATCAATACCCATCCACTCCTTTGGCGCGCAATCGAAATCCAAAACGCCGGTCTCTCTCCACTCGCCCCATCGATGCCTATAACTCCCTCGTCGCGCGATCTCTGATATTGCCGAATCTCCCAATCGCCGATCTCCTCTATCGCAAAGTATGAACCGGTCTAACGATAACTGAAAACATGACGCGTTGTAGGGTAGGGTTTTGCGCTAGCAGAACCGAGACCGTGTTCACAATCAGCAACAGAGGATAAGATCAGCGACGGCAGACACCGCTCACCAGTATATTTTGGAATCCGCGATCGAGCGGGCAGAGTCGGCCCTTCATCCGGTCTTTATCGCCCATTCTGCCTGATTGCGGATACCAGTTCATTTCACCTTTTCTCAAAGAACTAATTCTTCACATCCGCAAAATCGTCTGTCTCGTTGGCACTGACTCTATTGATGACCTACCAGTAATCTTATGTGTTATCGTTTAGTTTCGCTTTTTTGTGGACACAAATGAACCCTTTGCCCATCAGTGCTTGAAAACTATTACTGATGCCTGACATTTTTGGTATCTTTTTGTAAATTCCCTTTTATTTACTTTAGTGACTTCAGGCATTGACAAGCAGATGCGAGTAAATCGTCGTCTTATGCTAGTATTCGCAGAGCAAGCACCAAAACTTCTGTTCAAACAAGGAGAACCAACCCCTACCGAAGCCATCAAAGCAAGCGCTAAAGCGGCCAGAGAAGCAGAGAAATTAGCAAAGCAAGAAGCAGAAAAACAACAAGAAAAGCAGGAAGTAACCAAGGAAGTTCAAGAAGGTCAACCAGCAGCCAAGGAAGTTTAAGTCTGAGTATGTTATTCTTTCTGTGGATTACCAGTTCGCATGCTACGGAAATGTCTTTTTATTTCAGATTTCGATAAATCAGAGCGTCATATATAAGCTATGAATATTATATCCGAACACGGCTTTCGTCTTGATGGTAGACGTCCGCATCAGATACGAAATATCAGTGTGGCCCTAGGTACCGTGCGAGATGCAGAGGGATCGGCGTATTTTGAACAAGGAGGCACAAAGGTACGGAATTTCTCTATTTTACTTTGACGTAAGCAAGTCAAGGGAGGCATTCAATTTCATAATGAGGCCGCATTCATAC